GTTGTGGATTCCGGATTTTATGCTGTAGTTCCCAGATGGCAGGTACTGGATCCAGTATTCCTTGTCCGTGAAACGTACCCTGCGAGCAGAGGCTACATTTTCGCGGTATGAGCTGGCGTGCGAAAAGTAGCCTCTGCCGACAACCATTCAAATCCGTCCAGCAATCTGGACGAATAAATTAACAAAACGGGTTTTTTCTTGTTCTTGACCGGTTTAGAACATTGCGTGAGTCTTGCGTCAGCGAATGAACGTTGACCATTATTGCACCTTCATGCATCCCTTCGCGCCAAATTCTCGCATGCGAACGCGGATCAACGTAGCTCAAACATAGCAAAAGGAAAAGTTCAAAACAATTTCAAACATCCCTGTTTATGTATTTAAAAGAGCGTCGTCAACGACTTGAATGAGCTCTGTATTTTAAAGCTGACGGAATACCAAAACAAGCTGCTGCCGGTGCCTCTTACGGGACCGTGTAAAGATCGTTAATTTATCATATGGTAGTTCTTGTTTGACAGGAAAAGAAAATGGATACTGCGGTGATTTTTGTTGTGTCGCCTCTCGATGCACTGTTTTAAGACACAGATGGGAACCGGAATGTTCAAAAGAATCATCGATCAGTTTTCTTTTAGTGGAAAGAGCAGAAAAAAAGCTTTTAGCTGAACACTGATTCGCCCTCAAGGAATTCAACCTGGTTGGCTTTTTCACGGTGGAACGCTTGTCCTGTTCTGAAAAGAAACCAAAGCGGCAAAGTTTTTAAAGAATTTTCAGGTACAACTTGCACATTAACGGTCAAGGAAGTTCCGTTTTTAAATGGAATTTAAGTATTTATGTTGTTTCATAGATGTTTTATACGACTTGAGACGGATTTTGGCGTTAACATTTGATGTCTTCGGCAGCTTTTACTTGCGTGAAATGATCCACGATCCAGTTAGTACTACGCGAATTGCTTTTAAGGACAAAATTATGGGTTTTCGAATAAAATTTTTCGATAAACAATTTTCCTGACTACTGTTTTGTCTATGTTCATTCATAACATTAGTTTAAAACACAATCGTGAGACTACAGCATCCAATTTATTTCAAGCATCACTTCGGCGTAGCGTTGTCGGCGAATTTCATGTAATATTAAAGCCGGAAAAATGTGCTCCCCGCAAAACAGACAGAACTTACTACAGCTGATAGCATAAACATACTTTCCTAAAAAAGACGATCCGTGGAAATTTTGCGGCTAAAATACTTAAAACCAGAGAGGGCAAAGCGGAAAAAACAAAACAAAAGCTCGAGGAGAGTAGTTCGCAGGTAGTTTTTCCCGCGAAACTCACGCAGATTTGACGAACCAGTTGCTTGCGAATCGCGTGACGAATTTTGCGCATGCACGATGGAAAATTGAACGGTTGTCGGCAGAGGCTACTTTTCGCATGCCATCTCATACCGCGAAAATGTAGCCTCTGCTCGCAGGCTAGTGAAACGTGGATTTCAGATTCCAATCGTTAGCGTGATTCCGGGCTTCCTGTATAGAGCAGGCCCCAGCTGTTAAAAAGGTGGATAACGCTATCCACGGGATAAATCTCTATCCAGTGGATCGTGCAATTGGCCCTTTGCAGCTAGTCATTCACGTGGTACAAAATCGCCGTGCTGAAGAGGAAACGTCGCACTGGGGCAAGACAAACAAAGAAAATTACCATTTAAAATTATGTATATCTTTTGTTTGTCTTGTCCCAGTGCGCCTTTTGCTCCCCAGCGTGGCGGTTTTGTATCACGTGAATGGCTAGCTACAAAGGGCCTATTGGTTTCCCTAATACTTATCCACTGGATAGAGATTTATCACGTGGATAACGCTATCCATCGTTTGAACAACCGGGTCTGAATTCCGAATTTCAAACCCCAGAACTGATTCCAGATCAGTCTACAAGAAAAAAATTCCCAGGTTCCGGAATCTGCATTACCGTACACCTACGATGTCCATTACTGACAGTATTCTGCAGTGTGGCACTAGAAATCAGGGCCGGAAACAAGACATGATACCTTGGCTGCCTGGATAGCTTTCTTTGGAAGTGTTATCCTCGGAAACACATACATTGCACCTGCCACCTCGTTACACTTAACATTTTCCATTGAGTTATGAACCTCCGTTGTCATCTTTGCTTTCTTCCTGTAAGAATCCTTAATGGATGTTACCTCCTGTAATACGGATAAAACACAAAATAATGCATTAGGCAAGATATGGGAATACTGAAGGTAATCACCTCTATAGAATTTTCCTAGTGCGTCGCAATTAAAGATCATTTTCTATACATCTATAAGAAGATTGCCGAATGTTCCAGGAGAAAATAGACATTTTTGTTTACTCGACCTAGTCCCTTAGCGACTTCAGTACTTGGCAAACTTTACTTGCGTAAGACTCGAATCTCACGTTTTGTTTGGGCAAAAGAATCCATGTAAACCTATCCTGCGTGCCAGAGACTTTTCATGCATGGCTTCCGGTTTTTCAAATCTTTATCACCACTCGTGGCTTAGGCATGCGGGCCGAAGGATCCCGCAACCCGCGAGAAAACCTCTGGTACCCAGGGTAAGAGAAAGAAGCTTTATTTGTTAAATCGGCTATCCCATGGCAGGCATTAGAGGCGTCACCTGACTAAATATTGTATTATTCACTGCTTTTGTGTATGGTGAAAAGCTACGGTTCAAATTGTCAAATTTTAGTTAAAACCTGGAACGAGTTACAGCCTGAGCAATAGAGACAAGCTGAAAAAAAAGAATAATACAACGCCATTAATTTTGTCATTCACAACTAAGAACTAAGTTCTCAAGTTCAATGGCGAATAATGACTGGTTATTGCCATTATCCGACCATATAAACTAGTCAGCCGTGACAGAGCCCCTTTAAAAAATTACAGGAGCGATAAAGTAGTGCTGCTTATGATCCCGCGAGGCGCGTGAGTTTATCTGGGTTAAGTTACAGTTAAGGAGCATACCTTTGGAAACTTTTCATATGACTCATCGCCAGGCTTGGGAGGATTGCAGGTGAGTTCCATGATTACCTTGGGTTAGAAACCAAGCGTAATGAATACAGACTGAGTACCATATAATAAAGCACCAACAGCTTCCTTTGCAGGCGCTACAAGACTCACGCGACACAAAGCGAATGACTGGAAATAAGTAGACTGCAAAACAGTCGGTTTTTCTCTCAAAATCAGTAAAGAAATCGGTAAAGCGTGGCGTAAGAGTCTTGTGCGCGCGAAGCGCGCGAGCCTCACATGGTACGAAACCACCTTGATAGAGAGCAAGGTTTCTTACTAGCTGTTTACAAAATTACAGTTGAAAAGAACCGGTAAACAGAACACCTGACAACTTTTCGGGACGTTTCAGTGGAAAATTTGCAGGAGCAACGGATCGACTAAAATGTCTGAAAAGGTTTTTCTGTTTTTCCGGTCGGTGTTTCTTTTCTTCAAAGCCACCCTTGATACTAGTTTAAGGTTTTCGCGGCCGTTTTTCAGTAAATGAAACTGATTTGTACAAATGGTAAACGCGATTCCGGGACTACATCTACTAGCACTGAATTTTGCTTACCACTTGCCCAAACCGTGAACCGAATGGTATGTTCGTGTAAACGGTAATCAACCCAAGACACGCATTGGGAGAAGACAAACCAGGGATTTCACTAAGATTTCAAGTTGCTGGTTAAATGCGACAGTTAAGCAGGGAATATAACAGCTAGGGATTTCTTTTGGTCCTATTTTTCTTCTATTTTCCTATGAAAGTAGCCGGGGGCCACGTTCTTAGCAGTCGGGGAAAATCCCCGGCCCCCACCTCTTAATGACAGCCCTGCAAAACATAGGAAACTACAACTGTAAATGAAGTGAGCTCTTTGTTTGTCTTGTCCCAGAGCGCCCCTCCCTAACTCCCCAGTATGGCGGTTTTGTACCACGTGAATGACTAGCTCAAGGGCCTTATTGTGAGCAAACTTAATGGGAAAAGTTTGTTTTGGCATTCATGATCAGTTGGCCATTTACTGGTGAGGCCGAGTCCTTGATTTTCAGATTTCCGTGGGAAACGAATTGTAAAGTGGTGAAGTTTTGCATCAATTTTTTCCCAAGTCAGTACAGTGCAAATGCGAAGAATTTTTCTAACAAAGTGGGCTTGGGGGTGAAATTAGCTTATTTAACGCGTAATCTCGCATAAGGGCCTTTTCGCAGAATAAGCAAATCCAGCAAGCTGCAGAAGTGGTCTCAGTTTTTTTTTAACCATGATTACAACCAAACTTGTGTCCGACAGTCACGTTTGGTAATAGCCAACTGACTAGTCTCGTAACCAGACCTCTTGTTGATCTCTTCGACTTCGTGTACAAGAGATCTTGGTAGGAGATTACCGACCGTTAACAGTTAAGTACAGTTGAAGAATCCACCTCAAGACGATAATATCCACAGAGTGTTTCCTGCCTTTTCTTGCGCCAAAAAAGAGGAAATGTCAAGCCAAAGACAAAATAATGTTTTTAATGAACACGCAAAATACCTCGTAGCAAAGTGAAAATTTAATAGCGGGATGAAGGAAATACAAAAAACTTGATAAGGACTGCTAGGGAAAGGAGGGCTGGGACTCTCATCAGTAATTCAGAGAAAACTCTTTCCGGGACTTTGACAAGTGACCCCTTAAGCCTTTAACTTCCCGCAGAATGAATGATGGAGTCGAATAAGGAATTCAAGTTTTAACAAACTTTAGAGTCTGTGGACGAAATCCTTTGGCTTTTGGTGTGAACATTCAAATGAAACCTATACTTTCATGTGGTAATAATTGTTCCTAAGCATGTTAAAAAAGGAAATCTGTAATTTGTAATTGGGAGTGCAAGGGTTAATAATGGTTTGTCTGTGGTTATGCATGTACAATCAAATAACCCGGCAAACAGAGCCTAAGGGTACAAAATTGGCACTAAATCATTCTTGTCTACTTCCTGAAGGTGGCCGCAAAAACAAACAAGCAAGAGGAAAAACACACACGCACAACTTACTCGCCTGTGTACCCTTTGGCACTGGAATGAAAAGAGATCAATTGAAATCCGCTATACTCGTCTCCCAGGTTCCTGAGGACTTTTTTGCACGAGTGAAACTGGGCTCCCTCCGCGTACACGTTGTCTTGGTAGACTTCATCGGCGAATAAAACTAACTTCTCACGAGCACAAAACTTGATTACTTCTTGAATGTCTTCATACGTCAACACCTGACCTATATATAAACAAGACGCAAACGTGACTAAAGTTAATGGATAAACGAAGGACAGAACAAGTTTACATTTTATAGTTAAACTCTGATATTACGAACACCTCGGTTTAACGTAGAATCTCTATATAACGGACACCCTAGTTTAACGACTGCCTAGATAATGAACATCCCGGTATAAGGAGGAATTTATCAAAAAAAAGGAGAAAAAAAAAAACACCCCGGCAAAAAGAACGCCTATATAGCTTACACCTTGGTATAGCGAACACCCTTTTATAAGGGACACCCCGTGAAAAGAAAGCTCAAACGCACTAACCTGATTGTGTGCTAATAAAAATAATGTCGGGAATAAATAGAGAAATTTTATTATCATTGCCATCATCATCATCATCATCATCATCATCATCATCATCATCATCATCATCATCTTCATTAATATTATTGCAGGTAATTACAAATAGATAAATATTCAATGTACCTGTTGGATTGCCTGGATTTATCAGCACAAGAGCCTTTGGTAAACAGGGCGGCCTTGCCCCATCCACCTTTTTCTTTAGTTCAGACATATTCAAACCCCAGTTGTTGTCTTCGTCAAGAAGGTAAAATATCTTTAGGATAAAAAATAAACAAAAAAATGTGTAGAACGTTATTTTCTCCTGGGGTCTCTGAGGAAAAATGCCGGAGTTTGAAGTAATAAATTCTCGCTGCAACAAAACTGGAACCAAGTTCTTAGATTTATTCCGGTTGACCGATAGTTTCGGGAACTCTTAAGCTAAGGCTGTTCCAGTTTTCACTAATCGTAATTAGAAGTGCAAAGCGTTATGATCTAGTGAAAAAGAAGTCCGATCCCGCTTACGACCCCGTCGCTTACAAAGCCAGTAGTGAAAACTACAAGGTTGTTACACTTGTAAGGAGAAGCGACAGATCAGTCTTTCACAAACATGCCACAGTGCTTGGGACCGAGTATTGTGATTGATTTATTCGTCTCCTTATTATTATACTGTAAGCGGCGGAGTCGTAAGCGGAGTCGGAAGACGAAAACGTTCCAATTCTTGGGACTCCGATTCCGGCCTTTAAGCTTATGAAACCGTTTACGACTCTGAGTACGACCGGCCGGTCACTGTGGTTAGTGAAAATTAGCCAAACTTGGACGAATTTTGTGCAGCGAAGAAGCTCACTCGCTCGAACACCGCAAAGTGTTTTTTGTTTTGTAATATTTTGCTTTTCTAGTAGTGGTTCGCACGCGCCAACGGCTCTTAAAGATGGAAAATCTGTTTGGAAAATACAAGAGTAGACTTTCGGGATGCAAACGATTAATTCAAATTTACAACCATCTTTTAGAGTCTCAAGTCACTTTCTTCTTAACAGTTATCTGACGTTACAATTTACTGGTCAGCAAGCGTGAAAAGCGAAGTAAAGCCGCGACAGCACGTGCGAGGCGTGTGCGAAAGAGCCCTCCACTCTCCTCGCACTCCTTTCCGCTGCCGCTCCCACACAAAACCGCCAGCTACGTAGACTAAGTAGAGGAAAATGCGTGAACGATAGTGAAAACAACTCCTAAAATAAGACGCAACATGGTCACTTCTCGCGGGAAGGGGCCTGTTCCAGGCGTTCAGATAATAGAGTGCGGTCGAAAAATTAATTAACGAGGAAAAAAAAATAACGGAAGAGACTAGAGAGGGAGAGTTCCCTCGCTCGCGCCCCAATCTCCCCTCGTTTCCTCCGCGTACGATTTCACCCAAACACTGCGTTCTACTATTTGAACGCCTGGAACAGGCTACGCGGGAAGCGACGCCAAGTAACACGAATAGAAATTACCTGATGTGTGTTGTGTTGCAGTAGCCTAGCCTGATACATGCTATATCCAGGGATAGTAACCATTACCCCAGCTCAACCCTTTCGTTCCTTGATTCCTGTTGAAATAATTCCCATCATGACCTGTGTGGCCAAACAAATCATTATTTTTTCAGTTACCACTAGGTAAAGCGGTGCAGCAGTCACAGGGTACCCACTTGGCAGCTGTTTTACTCTGCAGAATGAATTGTAAGAAAAGGAGAACTGACAAATAGGGTTGGTTAACTAAACCAACGACACTAAAAACAACTCAATAATAGTTTCAGTTTATAGAGCCTGAGAAAACAGTCATAACATTTCGTGATGCCACCACTGGTTTCCCTGCGAAATGACGTCAGTGAGGAACAAACGCGGCAGAAATTTCATACTGGTGTCAGTTGTGTCACTGCCCAGATCTAGGAAGTACTTTTGATTGGCTGAAGCGGATATCCTTGAGGCACAATCAATCAGGAGCCCTACGCAAACGTTTGGCGGGGGCCAGTTAGGGAGTATTCATCGATACTGCCAAAAAGAGTTCCTTAACCCTTTCACTGCCAAATTTAGCCAAAAGCAAATTTCGACCAAATTTTCAAATTTCATTTTGTGAAATGTTGAATAACAAATAGCACCATGTGTAAGTAAAGGCAGAGAGCTTTCATTCAATTTGTCACATCATAGGATTTCGTCCACAGACTAAGAAGTTAGAGTCACGTTACAAAACTCCATCAAGTACTCTGGCAGTGAAAGGGTTAACTGAAATTAGTAAACTTATCAAGGTTGAAGGTAATACATTAAAATTGAGCGAAGGTATACCTCCGCAAAGTCGCGCAGTCAACAGACGTTTGAAAAATTTCGAAAATTTTCAAAGCCACATCTTCGTTAGTTTTCAACAAATCACCCTCAACCTCGGCTTTATTACTAGTTTTTTAAGGTCCTTTTTATAGCGGTGTCGACGGCTTTTCGCTAACAGGTTCACAACAAAAGTTGAAAAAACCGTGGATGGGTCTATTGAAGAACGAAGTTAACTTTACCGTTACGCTCACTGATTGGCTCAAAGAATCAAAGAATCACGCGTCATTTCCTCAACCAATCACGGTATTGCTCAAACGCGTTTTGCTGGGCTCAGCGATAGCCACTTGTTTTTGCTTTCAGTTCTTTTAACTATACTTAGATTGCCTGTATCTGCTTTTTGAAATATTAATAGTTACCCTATTTTGGGCCACAATTTTTATTGTAAAACTGCTATTTCTTTAACCTTAGCCAGAGGTAATGTAATGATACATAGTTCCTCCAAAATATTTCTTCTGAAGCTATGGTAGAACGGGCAACAAAAATGTTACACGTGTTTTGCAACATTGCTGCAAAACAAGTTGAAAAGCTATGTTGCGCGTTTTACCACCCGCGTTCAAGCTTGTCAAGTTGTGTGAAAGGTTTGAACCCAGGAGTCATTTCAAAAGTACGTTGACTTTGATCGTCCGGGTGAACGTAGTCCTGAATAGGACTGTTGTCGTTGACAGTGACTGACGTTTCGACAACCTGTGCGGTAGTCATCTTCAGAGTCAAAGTGAGTTGTATCACGTCAGTTGATGGTATTATACTCTGGTTATTGATCTGATTGGTCAATTACGTCGCAATGTTATTGGTCGTCTGTCAGTTAAGCCATGATGTTATTGGCTATGAAGGTTCGTAATCAGTAATTGGTGCGTTTCGATCCTTCTATTGTCACAGTTAACAGTCGTCTATTGTTAGTCAAATTGTCAGTTCTCCAGTCGTTCTCTCGTAGTTAGTTTTGCTCGTCAATAAGTCGTTTGTACGTCGCTGGTAACTGTTGGCTGCGATTCAATGGCGTTTGTTCTAAGTTAGTAAACCAGCTTTCTAAAGTAAGACGTTGATAGTAGACTGTAGAAATCAAGTTGTTGCATGTTGCGTGAGTACTGACTTCTTGTTGGCTATAATTACGCAGAAGTCGCGCAATACACGGTAGATACATCACCTGCTGCACAATGACTTTGCCTTGGGCCGGTAAAACGCGAAACCCGTACAGATTTTGTTACAAAAAGTAGAACTATTCTCTATTTTCTGCGACAACTAGTCACAACCTGGAACAACCTGATTTGTTGAAGCTGGGTTTAAACTCGCTCGTTTGCAAGACACATTGAGCAGCTGATGATAGGTGAAAACTGAATTTGGGTGGTGTTTTTTTTGTAGTGTATAACAGCTGAACATGTGACCATATTGTGCCGAGTTACCGTCGAAACCTCATGTGAAGCAGTGAAAGTCAAGTTGATAAGCATTCTTTGATTCATCGGCAAGATGGCCGCAAGAAAAGACAACGGGCTTGAGATCATGAAGGTTTGCATCCCCTTTTAATTATCTTTATTTATACAACACTAATGGAGGATCTCGGAAGAAGATTAAATTAGCCCTAAATCAAGTTTATGTTATGTGAGGTATAATTTATGAGTGCTCTCTACTTGTACATTTAGAGCAACTGAATAGTTTTCTTGCTTCCATGGTGTAAACAGCGCAATAAGATCGCCATCCACTGAGTCAAAAGTTAGAGCCATCTGTCATGAATTGTTGACCCTTAGCGAAAAAGGTTCAGGACAGATTTCACAATTTTCTGACTCTCATCTTTGGGCTTTGCCGTTTTTTTTTAGTGCTTTAGTGTTGTTTTTCGTGGGATCCTAAGAATCACCCAAGCTTCTCTTTTTATTAGTCTTTAGGTACTGTCTTCCGTGATATTGTGGTCGGTCAATCAGTCTCTGGGTGATATGTGAAGCCTTGGACGCCATTTTTGATACTTTCGCTGACGGACCGTTGATTAACGCTGCTGCAGACTCGATTGGTCTCATGATCAACCTTCAACAGTTGGTACCAGTTCTAAAAGCTAGGGTAAGGAACAGTTTAATGTACGCGGGAGGCGTATGCCTCAGTTATACTTGAAAAAGTCACATACAAGCCAGTTTTCCTTAGTTTGATCATCTCGATTGAGTAGCTAGCGCCGGAAACATCACCTTCTTAATTTTTTTTGAAAAATAGCCAATTTCGCCCTTCCCTGATTTGAGTGTCGTTTTCTTGCAGTTTAGGAAGAGCCGAGGAATTAGTGCACAAAATGTTTCGAAATGTTTTCCTGATTTAATCACCTTTACCCACCAAATCGTATCAAATAAAATGGTATTCAACTGATTTTTGAATGTAGTTTCGTAATTTTGTTTTGGTTTTTATTTAAATCTTAAAACACCGACTTCGTGGGTCGTTGAAAAAGTTAGATTAAATAAGCTTTGTTTTCAAAGAGAAGTACTCTTTTCTAAGAATCGCATTTGTTGTTTTTCAGGTAAAAACTGACAGAAGAACTCTTGGGGATCACTATCCTGTAAAAGATGCCGCGAGAGTGAACTTAGCGAGGTTTATAAAATACAAACAGAAAAGTCATTAGGAAGTGTAATGGCAGACCGCTGCGCGTCAAATGGTCTTCGCCCTCTCAGGAATCCCGCAGCCTTCATCTCTTTCCAAAAAATTAGCGGTCACAGCGTATTAGATTTTCAGGCTTTTTGATTCTTTTATCTTTTGCGCCACCATTAAAGGTTTCAGCTCATTAAAGCCGAATAGGATTTCCAGCTATTAAACTACAGTCATTGACGGCGTTTGGTGTCCTGTGTAGCTAGTCAAACTGATTCATCGGTTAGTCGTTGAAGTTTATGTTAGAGCTGAGTCACCAGAATCTAGTGTGAAGGGGGCAATTCCAGTCGCGAGGAGTACAGCATGAAAAGAATCTTCAATCGTGGAAGTCTAACGCGCTGGGATACTGTAGTGGAATCAGATGGAGGCTCCGAGACGATGGAGCTTCTGGCCATTTTTAAACTGGTTAAATTTGTGTAGACAAATTGGACCTGTTTAACCTGTCTAAACACCTTTGGACGGGCGAACTGATGTTAGTAACGCCGACTGACTATAATAATAATAGTTAAATCCACGAACCGGGTTATTGAAATAATCTTACCCACACCAGAATAAGTTTCTCATCTCGAAAAAATCAAGCGCATTTCAGTCGAATTCAAAGTTGTTTAGATATCCCTTTTCGTACTTTGATAATTCTGGTGATCAGTAGTCGAAGAATTTCTCACCAAGTTTTATGACAGCAAGGACTGAATATTCACGGCACTTTTGGAGTGAATTATTAACGAATTTTAAGACTATCTATAGCAGCTTTTATAGACGAATGGTATTATAGTTCATCGTCTCATTTTTTTACCCTGATGGGTGATCATACCTTTTAACCTCTGTTGTCAACGTAGTTAGATTCTCTCGCTTCACGTGTTTTCTTTTTAAGACACAGATCGGAGTTCGAATCAGAGTGTGAATCATAGTCAAAACTAAATTTTTCTGAACAAGTTGTGTCATTGATACGGAGAATGTTCGTCTTGTGTAATCTCAGTTATTTGAACCAGGGGTATATTTATTTCTTCAGGTAATGTCTATTTAGCGGTCACCTACCCTGAATGCCAGAGTCTTTTCATGCGCGGTTTCCGGTTTCTGCCATATCTTTATACGGTGACCTGCGTCTCTTTTTTGCTCCTTCGCCTCTCGCTGCTTCGGCCTTCGGCCGACCCCGAATCATCCCCTCTGCAGTTGATCGCTTCGGGCGCTATCAAAAACCTCTGGTACACAGGGCTGTAGCCACTTGAGGTTGGCCACTTAAAAGAGGCTGGTCGGGCTGTTTTAAAAACGGCCTGGCGTAATAGTTAATCTTCTAGGGTGCCTAGTGTTCTGAGTATCGAATTAAGAAAGAGTTTATCATTCTGTAAACAGCTTCTGAAAATATGATAACTTATCTGACACTGTAAATATGCAACAATCGTGCAATAAATGAAGGATACTTTTAAATGAAGAAACGACTTCTCGTCAAAGCTGCTGGAATTCTCGCGTAAGGAAAATGTACGCCTTTAAAATTTTGGAGGTAAGCGCCATGAAAAAGGAAACGAGAAAACTCAGTCGACGAGACACAGAGCCCAAGAAAAATGTGTACTTTGCCATTTTTATTCTCCTCGAGAAGTTTCTTCTGTAGGTGCACAAACTGCTTTGTATTATTAAATCAAAGAGGGAATTCTTTGAAGCAGAAAGCAACTTACACATAAATACGAAACAATCTATTGGTGTTTTGAGGTACCTCGAGCAAAGATACCCCCACCCCTACCCCCTTAACGAAGTTGGGTCGTTTGCGACTACCCACAAACCTTATGACCAGCGGTATAAAAATGACTAAGGGACTATTGATTGGTGTTAAGCACTATTTTAAATTAGTAACTAAAAACATGCTTATGAGATGTCGTTTTGGCCTAAGTGTCTGGTCCAAAAAAATATTCGCGCAAGGGAAAATTAAATGAAAAAAAAAATAAAAGGGGTCATTGTGCCCGGCGTTCCTACCGGAGACCGTGGAAACTGAGACTAAGAATCGTTGCGTGATCGAAGCCACGCATGTTTTGCGAAGAAAGCTTAGGAAAGATTAAATTAAGAGCTTTTCCGAAAAGTGTCGGTCCACGAATTCTATCGCTTGAAAGCGTTGATCACTTTGGAACAGGTGAACATTACTGAGTGGTCGAAAAAAATAAGAATCATAAGACTGCCAAATATTTCGGGAATAAATCGGAATTTTTTTGTTTTGGAGGCAACGTCTCAAATGTTTGGGTGACAATACAATGCAATACAATTCAATAAAATGCAAAGCAAAGCAATGCAATGCAATGCAGTGCAATACAAAACAAAACAAAACAAAACAAAACAATACAATAAAATGCTATAACCTATATTTAACGCGGTCAAATGTGCTTAGCTAAATAGCTACTTTACAGACATGGGGGAAGTAGGTTTAAATTGTTACAATTCAGATAAAGCCTGAAACATGTTATAACCGTAGCGGCTTATGAGACATGCTTAAAAATAAGAGCACAGAACAGGAAAGGTCTAATTATTCCAATGGGATTCATGCAAATAGTGTAATCAAAAAACTAAAAGAAATTACGTTTTGGCGCACAAATAATAGCGGTGCCCTGGCGAGAGGAACTCATTCACTCGCCGCCAGTCCCTACGCAGGCCAAAGGATCTGTTAATAGTAAATTGTGTTCTATTTTGTACTATCTTGCACTTCTGTTTTACTTGGCATAATTTTATCAAAAAAAAAATCCACGAAAAATTCAGGAACTATCGACATGAAATAAGTTATGATTTGAAACTGTAAGGACACCCACAGAAACTACAGCTCGTGTCCTACTTTGCTCGAATGAAGCACGGACGCGAAATAATCGTTGTAGGTGTCCATCAAATACAGGGTCGATTGGTTGTGGGCTGATTAAAACAAGGAAGTTCAAGTTAACAAAAAGCATAATTCAGCAGCAAATTTTTAGTTATTTAGTGGGGGTAGATATATTTAGGGGTGAAAAATGATGGCCAAGACAATTATTCATGGTAATTACTGAAGCTTTAATAGTGAAATATTATTTCCCAAAACAGATGTGCAGATAATTTATAAGAACGTATAAATCCAGGAAAGATATTTTTCGCTGGAGTTACCTCCAACACAGACGTCTTTTACAAGCCCAACTGATATTTTCCAAACAAAAACTATTAACAAACTTTTTCGCTTCATCAGTGGGGACATCCAGCAAAGCATTTGCGAAAGGTTAGTTATTTATTTATAAACAAAACGAAACGGTTGAACAAATTAAAATTAGCCTGTACACAGACGTTGTTTTATTTTTCTTTTCGTTCTTTTCGAGAACGTCGGCGAGCGAGAACGAGCGCTGAGCGCAAGAAAGAAAAATAAAGAATTTTCTCCTTCCTGACCCAGTTTTTGTTTTTTATCACGCGCGCTCGATGGACTTTGAAGAGAAAATAGAGGGTCTGTGATGACTGTGAACAGGCTAGAAAAAAACGAAACATATTAAAGGTTTTTACTGCGGTATCATGCAGTCAGTGAGCATAAATTTGATGTTAAACATACCAGTTATAGAGCGATAGATATACTAATCTTCAAGAAGCAAATATAAATCCTACTTAGACCGCGGTTTAGGACATTCAGTGGACCTTCAGATCTTTTCAAGTGTAGTAGGGGAACTCAACGACTGTTTTCTGTTAGAAGATTAAGCACAATCATTTTTTTCTGGAAATTTCTATAGATAACTCGAGAAACTGGGTTAAAAGTGCTAGATGAAATTCATACAAGTTATTCGAAGTTTCAGTCTGTTAACTGGTCTACAATTTTCCCTGAAGGTTTAGTCACCCCTCGTAAAAAAGGCCGGACTTGTAAAATTTTCGCCTTTAGAAACAGTAACGGAAAGGGGTATAGCAAAATGGTTAGTTTCCAGTAAAAAATTAAAATTTAAAGCATCAAAGATTTTGGGACGCCCTAGGACGGACCGAACAGATTAAAAGTTTACAGAGCTTTCTAGAACGCATTTGCAAAGCTTTGAAAACAATCTAAAAAGATATCCTAAAATGGTTTTTGAAGAATATTGGAGAAAGCCGGCGATGGGTATAACAGGTATCTAATCTTTAAGAACCGAATAAACCTAAGTTCTATACCTAGACCACGTTTTAGCTGTAGGACAATCTGAAGTGGCCACGAGATCTTTCACATGTTTCTGATGTAGGTTGTTTCAAGTAGCGCGTGTTTCTCTCCTCCTCTATATGCCTACATTGATATATTCTAGTGCAATGAAATTTTTTTAAATACAAGGATTGGCCGAGCCAAGCAACGTGGGCCATCTTCATATTTTCATGAAAAATTTCAGCTCCGTTAACCGTGTGAAATTGTTCACGTTTGCACGAAAGTAGACTCGGAAAAATGACCATGAATTTGTTTGCTTTGAAAGTTCTTCATCAAAAAGTGGGCCTACAGGGTAACAATTGCTGGTGTCTGGTTTTAACTGTAATGTTATTGACCGCCACTTTTATAATCAGACAACCATATGGAGAATGGTTGTATAGTTATTGCGTATGGCAATCATTCATTTGTTTGTGTCAGTTGGATATCTAGTTTGTTTCTTACTCCTCGATTGTTTAAAAATTTCTGTGTGGAGCGGTGAAATAATTATTGTATGTGTCGATCAAATATTATAGGGCCGATTTGTTTTTTGTGCAACAACAACAACAAATGTTCCGAAAATTCTAGATCTCAAATCGTCTTCCGAACAGATATTTTCCGAAAATTGACGTTGGGTGCCCCCGTTTTTTGGGCTGATTGACGAACAAAGTTCTAATTCAAAAAATATGGGGGTAGATATATTAAGCGGAAGATGATAAGCAAAGGAAATTATTCAAGGTTAGCTCACTCTTTTGTGCAATATTTCCATATTTAAAACAGTCATGTGCAGATAATTTAAGACCGGAAGATTATTCTTCGCCGGAGTAACACTGTCCAACGCAGATGCCTTTTACAAGCCTAACTGATGATTAATTTTTCAAATATAGATGCATATTTTTCCCATCGCTTTATCAGAGGAGACATCCAGCAAAGCATTTTTTTTGTGAAAAGATAATTATTTAAAAGAAGAAAAACAAAAAAACGTTTTAACTTTGGTATTACACAATTGAGTATTTCTTTAAGAAACGGATATTTGACCTTAAAAGTCCTGCTTAGACCACAGGTGCAAAAATTCAGAGGACCTTCAGATCTTTTCATGTGGTAGAGGCACACAAAGACTTTTTTCTGTAGAATATCTGTTTAAAGAAACTCAGTATTGTCTGTAGATTCCTATAGCTCGAGATAGGTTTAAAATTCTTAGATGAATGTTCCATTGTTTGTCGCAGCTTTTGGAATTCAGTCCGTGTTATTATGTTTCTACGATTAAGTAAATTTGGGTTTTTACCTTTCTTTTCCCAGG